TTTTTTTTTTTTTTTTTTTTTTTTGGTCAAATGTAGTCTTCACAAGGCGCCTTCAAAAGTCCACCGAAGAGCCACTAAGGTTTCTTGACGACTCTTTGGTATAATGCATGGGGTTGGGGCTAATTGGGAAATAAGGGAACCACAGGAACAAAATACTGAAATTCAGGACTGCACGCACTTCTTGAAAGGCTAGGACGGACCGGGACACGAGTAGAATTTGGTGGTAGTACCGGGGAGGGATATCCCAGCAACTCCTCAGGTAGGCCCAGCCGAAGTCCGGTAGGCCTAGAAGGACCCCGTAGCTTCCGAAAGGTCACAAGGAGTCAGGGCCCGAACCTAGACATCAGGTAGGTCAGATTCAGGCCCTGAGTAGACTTGCAGGCTGCAACGATGTTCCCGAAAAAAAAAAAAAAAAATGCAGGAGGCTACCGGTAGGCCTAATACACTGGAGAAGCAGCCATACCGCAGCCAAAGTGAAGCTGTGAGGCCGAGTTGCAAGAGTATATCACTCGGCTACAAGCACTGAAGCGGTATCTTACCCTGCAGTCGTGCTGCTGCTCTACCCAGAGGACGAAGGTGGGCTGAGCTCCTGCTGAGCGGTGGAGCTGGAGGGTGGAGTGGCGGGAGGGAGAAGGCTTTGGCTATGGAGGTAGTGCGTGAAGCGCCCCATGCCAGGCTACGAGAAGGGTGAAAGAGGGGTGAAGGGGATGAAAGAGGGGTGAAGGGGAAGAGAAAAGGGAAGAGAGAGAGAGAGAGAGAGAGAGAGAGAGAGAGAGAGAGAGAGAGAGAGCTGTCTCTTATACACATCTAGATGTGTATAAGAGACAGGGGAAGGGGAGAAAGCAGCAATGGCTTCGACTAGGTCGGTGGGTGGGTGCTCTTGATGTTGACTTCGTGCTAAGGCATTGTGTGAGTTTTGTTAATCCTCCTCCTTTTTCTTTTTTTTTCCCTTAAAAGGGGGACAGCCTTTAGATATCATCGTTGACGGTTGAACTGACCGGCCCCAGGCAATTCAGAAATTTCAGAGCAATTTTATTCTCCTTATTTGAGGGTATCTGGATTTGAACTCGAGTCTGTATTTCAACAGTTCAGGGTTGTACCAAGTGAGCTAGGCCCGTTGGTGTTTTAATCCTCCTCCTAATCCACAGATTTTTCTTTTTTTTTTCTTAATGATCCAACCGACAGACTGACAAAGCTGGAATAGC